TATAATAATCAAAGTCGACTAACCTTCGTGAAGTATCTGCGAAATAATTTATTACCTCGTAAGTAAAGAGTCAGCTGATTGTAACGCTGATTAACTCGAAAAAGTAACCCACTTTAACTTTGATGACTAATACTGCAACATTGCACTAGATTTATTTAAATCATTTATCTTTTTCTCTTTCATTCTCTCTCGACATAAACAGTTCTTTATTCTCTTTCTCTTTTAGAAGAAAAGTTTTTAAAAGTTTTTCTTTAAAAATTTGTAAAAAAAAGCAAATGTAAAAATACACGAAGATGTAACATTATGTCGCAAATTTTCACGATTAAAGTTTTATATAAATAAATAATAAAACTTTTTCCTCGGTTGATTATAGAAAACCTTTTACTTTAATAGAAATTTTTAGTTGAAGTTTACTTATCAAGAAGTGGAAAATTGGAAAAGTATCGACAAACGATGATCTTTCTCGATATTTTCACTAAAAAAATATGGAATTTATATTCGTCAAATAATTCATCTTCAAAAATATTTTTGTTTGGAATATCATTTATTGGACGAAACTAATGTAGGCATATACATTTAAAATCTGATTTTATATAATTTGTTTTTTCATCTTTTATTATAATATAAAAATCCAATTTCGAGATTTTATTCCTATTATAACAGACGGCATCGACTACTAATCGTACGCAGGCTCGCGTTCAGGCTGGATATAGGTGAAGGCGTTAACATTTCCGTTTCATTCGAAGCATAGCGTCGAAAACACATATTTGCACAGATCGCGCACATTCCGTCCCGGATACGTCAATTGCGCAAAAGTTTCGAGTGATCTGTTCGCGAACCGAGTGACCTAAATAGACGTTTCCAGCATCGAATGTTTGACCCGAAAGTTCGGGGAGAGAGAACCCCGGGTCGATTGCGCGCGGTTTTGCTTCACCCCCTCGAGCACACATGAGAGAACTTTGTCCGCCCCCTTTCTCCTCTCTCCCACTCCCTTCCTTTTCCCTACTGTATTTAACCGAGCGTTCCGCATCGGATTCGTCGCGCGTCGTAAATAAAAGTCCACGAGCGATAGCGAGCGAGCAAGCGATACGTCAGAGGGATACTACCGTGACACCTGGTGCCTCGTGCAATCGGCATTAAAGTGCAATGAAATTGAAAAGAACGTAGAAAAGTCAAACCATCCCTGGACGATGCAAGAGCGAGCCAAAGAAGCGAAAACTCGGCGGTTTACAATAGCGTTCCGGCTCGTCGAGGAGCCTTGTCGCTCTTCAAGGCGCCACAATGGTCCACAAGGGATAGCCCGGGGGGAACGTTGATTTCTCCACAATTTCTGTTATTTTGGGCGAGTGTACAGCCAGCAGGCTGATTCTCAAAGAGGGACAGCCGGCTGTGAGGAATGGACCGTGGAGAGAGTGGGATGGGTCGGATCTCTCGTATGGCGAGAGACGCGCCTGCGAGGCGTGAGTTCTGGTTCTATCCCAGGGCCAGGTGCAACTGTTCCATTCCTGCTTGTATACCTGCGTCCTACAAAACATCGCTCATTTCTCCGTACCGGTCCCGTCCATCCGTCTCAGCTTGTATAGCCTTGACCATTCCGAGCGCCCGCAAGGAACTCACTTGCTTAGTCGTGGCGCGATAATCGCCGAAACGAATGAATAGATTCGTATATATACGTGCTTTCACCAGTCTTCGATGAATGCTTTCCCCGTAGCTCTATAATAAACGTCGTGTAATTTTTTCATCATTAATATTTATTAGAATTTTAGCCACTATTCAATCCACCGTTGCGATAATTCACTTCTGGTTTCCCGAAGAATAGAGGGGATAAGATTGCAGGTAACGTTTAAAGCGCGCAAAAATTTGCATCTCAATGATTTTTTTCTCTCGCACCGCCGATTAATCTGTCAGTGCGCGCGAATTTATGAACGCATTGTTTTCTTGGGAGCGAGGCGGCAAATCTCGGTCTTGACCGTCTCGGAACGGCGCAGCCAAGATGACGATATATTACCTCATCCGGCGTCTTGCCATAATTAGCATACTGAGTAGGTAGGTAATTGTATTCGATGTTGTTCTAAATGGTACGGGAACGAACCCGATGCCTGACACGGTCTAGAAACGTAGTTTTGATTAGTGATTACGCTACCGTGGCAAGGGCTTCCCGCTTTTGTGAAATTTAATGTAGCGTATAGCAAATTGCCTTTACTCTCTCCCTCTCCTTCTCCCTCCCTCTCTCCCTCCCTCCCACTCTCCCCCTCTCTCTCTCTCTCTCTCGGTAAACTTTGGGTAGCTGTGTGCTTTGTGTCAGCCGAATTATCTTAGAATAGGGAAGCGCGCGTCTTTGTAATGGCTTCTAAGGAAGTTATAACAATGAGTAAACGACCTCGTATATATAAAGGAAAATGCTGAATCCTTGAATCTGCTCGTTACTCGCACGTTGACTTTGCTGTGGACACTTATAACGATAATATTCTATTAGGTATATTATACTATATCAGAGATCGAATATTTCAACTTTACGCGAGGCACAGGAAATAAATGAAGGAGAAAGAATAATAAAATAATAATAAATCATTGATTATTAATTTACGTTTATTAATCATTTAATTGTAACTGCGAATTGCTATTTAGGAAAATGTCATATCTAATGATTGGATTATTTATGTACTTGCCTAAGGTTGTTATTTATGTGACTGATTACAAATTATTAATTGCAGTTTCATTGTATAATGAGAACTTTAATCAGTATTATTAGATATAGTTATGCAAATATTAATTATTAACGCAATTCATCTAGACCATGCTATTATTGCGTAAAATCGATGAATAACTTTGATGAATAAATAAGTTTTATTGATTGTACTTTGACTATATTCATTAGAATCCAATGTTGAATATCTAATAGTATTATTTCATACTCGAATTATTTAGGAATCATAGACTTACAGATATTGTGAATTAAAATTTTAATATACCTATATGTATATATTTTTTCTTACATTAAAAAATTAGAATTGAAATATTATGCAAACAAAAAGATACGAAAGTTAACGAAAGAAAAGTATTTTAACTATTATGTGGATAATCTAATTAATACAGTATTGACTATAATACGATAAAATTTTTTTCGAATTTTACCATATCAAAATATCTTTTGTTAGAAAATATTCGCAAGGAATCTATTTTCTCGACTAGAATTTACTTTCCAAAGAATGATATTCCTAAGAATTTGGCAAATAACAGCATATGGTGAACGCAAAAGCTGGTATAAGCGTTATCGACTGTAAAAGGTTCAGACTTGCTACATTTTCATAGCTCGGTGATATAGTTTGAACGATTCTGAAGGGATATTACCACCGATAACACGTAAAAACTTGCATTTAGACAAAAATAAGAAGAAGATTAGTTCATTTCTTATTAAGTGACTTTTACCAAATAACATAAGGAATATTTTTTGAAAACAGCTCTTGAAAAAAAATAGTTTTTCCTCCCTTTCTTCTTCAATTTCTATAGAATCACGATCTCCGACTGACTAAAGCGCTTCGTATGATTTTCCTGCAATCTGCTCAGCAAACAGCTGCTGGTAAAGAGACTGTCTGTGTAGATATCATCAATTTGTTAAATATATATTCTATAAATTATTATATATTTATATTTTATGTACGTGGTATTATAAACAAGAATAACCAGAAATATATGAAACAGCATATCATGCCGATTTTATTTTGGAGATATCACATCTTTCATTATTTAAAAACATATTTTCTCATTCACAGTATATACAAACATATATATTAATTCATCCAAATTTCAATTTTTATCAGTATTTTAAAATAATTGTCTACAAAAAAAAATACAATTGTTTAATCATTAAATATTTCCTCCGATTCAAACCAGTAAAAAGAGTTGCACAAATAACTGTCAACTATGAAACCTATTTTTGAAAAAAAAACTTGTCACGTTTGCGGCCCGATTCTTTTCATTCAAGAAAGACATCACCCGTAAAAACTTTGATCGATATATAACGACCCAAAGTAACATTTAGCCCAACGAGCAATCCCAAATGCGAAGCCTACATTTTCTCGTATATAGCAGCTTCGAGAACGATTCATCCGTCAACCTTCATATCTATCCATGCTCCATTTATCCCCCGTGTCGTGTCGGTACCCTTTGGTATACCGAAACTATGCCGTCCCTGGGATCTCGACCGCCGAGGCTAATCCCCCTTGGCGGACTTGGACCAGCATCGCGACCGTCGATGGAATCAACGCACACTCACGCGCGCGCACGCTTACCCTTGAGAGAGAAGGCAAGAGTAAAAGCGAGGGTGAGAAGGGGCGAAAGAGAGAGAGAGAAAAGAGAAAGGCAGAAGTGAGCTCGCGATACACGGCAACGGCCGTGAGCCACGGGGGGTTCGCAAGAGGGTGGTCGGAGATGAGATGAGAGAGAGAGAGAGCGAGCGCGCAAGGGTTATCCGAGTGAGACAGGGTAGATTCTCCGGTACACGGTGGTGGGCACAATATTGATCTGTGGGGTGGGCTTCGGGGATGCTGTCCTCCGGCTCTCTCCTCCGCCCCCGGGCCGCCCCTGTCTCACCCGCCATCGCACCCCCGAGTCTCACTCCCCCGGTACTCGGAACGTGGTGGGGATCACGCTGGTTGCGTGCTGGTCCAGTCCGCAGCCTCCCACGAAATCGTGGTGGGAACCGGAGGCGGCTACGGGAGGTAGGGATAGCGGGGAGCTCCGGTGATGGAGGTGGTGGAGGAGGATTATGCCCCATCTCGTGGGGAACGCTCCTCGCGTTTATATCGCGGCGGTAGCTGCGAGTCGCGAGAGCTCGACCGGTAGCTCGTACACGACCCCGACCGCTTCCTTTTTCAGGGGTTTTGGTTTCCGGTTCGGGCACCCGTTCGCGCAGGGACAAGAGGCGGTTCTCTCCATCCCCGTGTGTCCATTCCCCTCTCTTTTCTCTCTCTCTCTCTCTCTCTTCTCTCTCTCTCTCTCTCTCTCTCTCTGTCCATTTCTCTCTTTCTTATCTTTTTGCCACCTCTTTCTCCCCGTTCCTATTTCTCTGATCGTTTCCCTCTTGCCAACCGTTGTCTCAGTCTAGCGCGAGTTGCCACGTTCGGATGGACGGACTTCGTGGTGCGTACACCCTGGTGCGTGTAAGGGAAGCTACGCGTCTCTCCTCCGTCATCTTCGGGTATCGTGTTCGTCGCCACAATCGTTACGATCGTCGTTCGGATTATTCGCGTTCGTATTTCCACTCGTGTTGAGTCAACCCGATGCTGCGCGATGCGAGATAGAATCGTGCGTGCAAGAGGAACGACTTCGCCAAAGGACGAAAGCAATTACGGATAGAAGAAGAAGAAGCGACGCGAGGCGGATGGGATTGCGGAGAGAAAGAAGAGATAGCGGCAACAGGACAGGAATGGTGACGATGATGAACGCGGACACACGAGAATGCACGTTCGCGCGAACGCGTGATCCCTGTTGAGAGAAAGAAAGAGAGAAAGAGAGGAAAACGAAGAGAACCGAGAGTGCGAGAAGAGGAGCAAAATACGCGCGACAGCGGCGGCGAATTCGTTGCCTACGTGGAACGGGCTGCTAGCCGAGAGGGAGCAGCCACGCTCCGCAAAGTTGCCTAGATACCGGGCAACACCGTGTTGCGCTCCGGTGAAGTAGGAGGCAGCGAAGGAGGCGGTGGTGGCGGTGTTGCTCCGCGGGAGGATGGAACGCGCGGTGGACTGTAGTGAGACGAGGAAGACGATCGCCGGCCAGGCCGCGAACGCAGGTCCGTGGTGCTGCCAAGAGTCACGATAGCACATCCGCGCGCCTCTCGAAGCCACGAGAGAGAAAGGAAGAGAGCACACGTAGGTCGTGGTAGCGTGCTCGCGGTTCGAGAACGTCGAAAGTAACGCGGCGTCGTTTGCGGTGCTACCCCTGTATAGTTATAGTAGAACCCTCGAACGTTCGTCGACACCGGCGTCTGGTGAATAACGGATGAGTAGTGTGAACTCTTTTTTTTTTTTTTTTCAAGAGAGAAATCTTTTTTACGAACTCGCGCGAGTATATCTAGGGTATTATCGCTCATCTACGTTGTTTCGCTCTCGCGGTCGGTCGGATATTCGCGATCGAATCGTCGAGGTGGGTGTGCGCGAGTAATAAAGTGAACCCCGGTGCCGGTCGAGGACGGGGTGAGAGTACTCGTAACGATGGACGCGCCGCCGCGTGGGGGAGGATTCGGTGTAACGAGGGCGCGTAGTCGCCCTCACGGACCACCTGTAAACGAGCCCTCGCAGTTTTCCTTCGAGACAAGATTCTTTTCGTCGTATATGTATATATATCCGAGAGACGATAGACCCGGCGCGTAATTGACGAACGATACCGTGTGAAAAAGTACCGGATATAGCCATAGGTACGTTCGTATCGACTGCGTCAAAACTCCGCAGACGCATTTCCCGTGAGATTAAAACTCGCGCCATTGTTGCTTCTTCGTGGCGTGTGAGACAATGGGAAAAAAATTGCTACCTATGTCGATATAGATAGAAACCGCGGTAATGGCGTGCCATTTTATGCACACTCCTCCGTGAATCCGATAAATAGGTCATCGTAATGCTGGACTCGTGATCAATGGCTGGTTGGTTGCAAAGGGTTGCAGCTAATTAAATCGCATATTTTTGTACGAAATACGGAATATTTGTATTTAATATAATTCGCTGCATTTAAAGATAAATACCTGGGAACAAAAGCATATTGTCGTCTATTGTACTGTCTTATAAAAGGCACAAGCTATATAATAATGAGATTATTAATTTTTTCACTTTTTTTTTTACATTATTTTCCTCTTTACTTAAGATCAAAAATATTTTTTGACACATCTGATAAGATTTGATAATATATCCGATTTTTGTCATTATATATAAAATTTAGATTATATAAGATTTTATTCCTCTTGAAATTCAATATATGTGATGTTAAATATAATTATGCTTTTCTCAATTTTCTCGTATGATAATATTAATTATAGAAACCGCAAAATATTTCGGGTCTAGCTCGCAGAAATTGATTTATGAGTCTGCATATATGCGATTTTTTTCAATTATATTAATAATTCATTCGGTCTCACCAAGAGGATGGAAAATTTATGATAACGGGGCTTGGCGAAACCGATCGTGCTCAGTCGCGGCACGTTTTTCCAAGGGGAATAGAAGAAATCTTTTCTTGCTGATAGTAAAATAGTAAATCAACCTCCCAGCTTGTAAATCACCTAAGTCTTTGCGATGCTCGCGTAACGACTGTAACCGATTATGTATATTGCTAAAAATATCGGTAAATGACAGTATTATTCAAATGAGTGTCGTACTTCGTTTCGTGGGGAATAATGTTTGGAAATTTATATAACATAGATTTTGTGCACCGTTTTAAATGTCAATTTATAATTTGAAAATGCTGCAATAATTATTTTTATTGAAATTTCTAAATTAAAAAAAAAAATTTGAATATTTGTAAGTTTTAAAATTATGAAATTATTATCAATTAAAAATATCATTAATCAAATAAATATAACAAATTGTAGGATTGCGATAAGATAATAAATATAAAAAAATATCCTTGATTATTTTTCAATTAATCTTTGATCATATAAAATTCCAGTGGCAACATAAAGGAATGATATTTTAGAAATATATTTTAAATACATCTATATTTTAAACATAGATGTATGTATATATGTGGAATAATTTTATCGTGATGAAGAAAAGTAAATTTGCAGCTTGAAATAAAGCAAATAAATCTTAAAAATTGTGCACAATTCTATGGATAAAACAATTGAAGGTAATTTCGACGAAATTACATGAAATAACGCGAATACATGCCGCGAAACGACGCCGCGCGCGATAGAAAACAGGGGCGCGAAGAAAGAATTGTTCACATACATACATCCATACGTACACGCACGCATACATAGGAAATCATTATTTTTAGGATCCCTTACGAGAATGTTCGAAACGCTGGAAAGCATCGTCGCGCGAACGTAGCGCGTTCTCTCTGCGAACGATAAAACGCCGCCATCCTTCAACGATCGAGACCTCGCGGATACGCACAACCGAGAAGCGCGGAAGAACGCTTGGTTATGACGGCCAAGTCGGGAGGTGCGTTAGCGAGGGCATCGAGTATCGATTAGCAGATGATTCGCGCGGAATTGAACTCGACTCGCGAGATCTGCACGACGATGATAATCAGTGACGCAACGGATGTCAAAGCGCTTCCGGGCGATATTCGCGGCAGTGACCGCTGCATGTAGAAGTGAACACGCAAAATTGTGCAGTGTATTACGGTCACGACGGGGCACGTCGGGACCCGGTGAAAGAACATCGGCGAGTCGGTGTCGAGCCTCGATCTGGGCCTGCAAAATTCATCTGCCATGGCGCACCAGACAAGAGATCTACCGCAGTTGCGAATAAAGTTTTATAATATCGCGGTCGCCGCCGGTCTCCAAATAGTCCTCTTGCTCACCGTCCTACCTCAAGGTAAGTTTGACGCGAATTTCCGATATTTTACGGTGGCATTACGTTTACGCGACATTACTCGCTATGATTTTCTTTATCGTTTGTCGTTTCAAGAATGAAGAGGCACGAATAATATTTCTTTAAAACAGTTTTAAAAGCACTGACGAGTAAAACTTTTTATAATTATTTGCAAACTGCATTCCATCTGTCAGTTGGCAGATATATTATACTGAATAATATGATTTAATTCATGTATAAATACTGAGGTATCAAATATTATAGCCACATAAAATGTCAATAACAATTGTTAATGGATTTTAATGGAAATTTTTTACGAGGTGCACACACACACACACACATTTACTAATTTGAACATTTTTTTTTAATAAAGCATCTGAAGTATCTCTTTCATTCGAAATAATATAATACACATTTGCATTTACGTAATGAATACTTATACTTACAATTAGTACGAACTAATTTAATGTTGATTAGCTCTAAAATCTGATATAATCGTACATTTAATTTTGACTTGCTAAATTGAGTGTCTCTATGTCGAATAATATAGCAATGATTACATTTATTTTCATTTTGAGAGGTTTTTATTATTTATATATATATATATATATGCATTTCATAATCTACTTAATCTGTAAAAAAACAATTATTATAATTTTAATTAAGATATCATTAATATAGACAGTGTATGAAATAATAATGAATATAAATATAATATATTCTCATCTATTAGTACTCAAGGACCAGAGTCGATTTTTGTATGTTGCAACTTTTATTCAGCCATGTCACTTCTTCGGACTATTCTTTCTCTCTCTCTCTCTCTCTCTCGCTATCCTGATATAGAAATTCCGAAAATAACTTTAGACGAGTACATAATTTAATGAGCGACGCTCCCACGACTATATTCTAACGTTATCTTTGCTACAGACATTTCTAGTCGATCAGCGTGTTAAATACAGTAATCATTAATATCGTTTACATCAATAAAACTAGTCGCGCACGTGTCACATTATAATAATTATAAATAAAATCACCTTTAAGATAATAACAATAATGATCCGCTAATTGCCGTCATATGTTAACCTAAATATTTAGCTTTAGCATTCTTCTAAAATAATGATGCATTCCGTGCTTTTGTTCGCTGTACGAGTACACGTTTATGCACATATGGAAGGTATGTGCTTGTCTTTATATAATTTACGCGTGACTGATTACACTAAAAGTGGCGCCGGGTACGCGTATAATAAATCGGTTCGTCAATCATAATTACGCGGGCGACGCGTTCGGCAACAGTGCAACGTATAATAGAATCACCACAACTGCGGTATACTGGGTGCGACCTGCCATCACGATGCATCGGCGCTCGACCGCGACAAAACTGCATTTCGTTCAGTCAACGAAGTTTCGCAGCCATGCGCGGTACGACTCGTACGGAATTAAATCGCACGATTTGAGGAACTCCCTCGGAAAAACATTGATGTGTATGTCGCGGACAGCAAAGTTTCTACGTGGTTCCGATGTTGGTTTCCCCTCAGATTCTATGACACATTAATCTCCGCGGTAACGGATTTAGACCTATTGGAAATTGAACTTGTCGCGATTTTAAAAGAAAAAGAGAAAGAGAGAGAGAGGGAGAGAAACTTTACGAGATTTTCTTGTCGTATTTTCAAACTCAGAGCTAAAATTGTGAAATAGAAATCAAATAATATTATAGAAGAATTTTGTAATTTCAGTTTTTTTTCCTCTTTCTCTCTGTCTTTTTAATTAACTCCAGATTTGAATATTTTTTAAACCAAGAGTTTTTCTTGAGAAAATTTTTCTTTTGAAATATATACGTATGTATATAAATCATTTTATATAATAGTCAAAGAAAAAAGATATCTATTTCAATATAATATAATATATTTTTTAACATTAAAAATTCAATATTGTCAAAATTTATTTTCTAACTTAGTTTGTGATATATAGCTCAAACAAACACGGTTAGAAGGTTAAACATAAGTAACTTTGGGTTGAAAAATATGCAGAGTCATAAGTCAACGGGAATACCAAAGTTTTGCGATAAACATTCTAACGCGAAATATCATGCGACGATTGAACTTGCGTGATTGTTCGGCAGCAATAGTAAAGTTTAACCGCTGGATTTAAACTTGAAATTTATTAGTTCGTTGAGACGAACGTCGGAACATTAATATCCCTTCGCCATCATCGCTCACGTGTTAAAGGTCGCTCAGCAAAGCGATAAAATCTTTCCAGTATAGACGATCCGTAGTATTAAGCTCTTCGACAAATTTTTACGGGAGAGATGTGTACACCTTCTCGATCATTATTCTCTGACAATATATCCACATATAAAATATTTTATCACCAAAGTAACGCTATCAATTGGATGTCATAACTTTCTTGCATCCACATCAAGTGAAAGTAGAAGTAGGTACGATACGATCATAATGTAATTAACTCGTAATTCTATATCTCACTACTTTTATCAAATAATCCGAAAATTTCTTCCGCATTATCTTTCCTGCGCTCCGTACTGATCGATCATTGCTTTACTTACCCTCGTTGTGTTGTGTCAGTCGTAAATCAATCAGAATGTGGTAAGTGAAGAACGATCGATTGGCAGCCTCTCCTTTTCCTACACGAGGAGCTTCTCCGTTACACGTCCCGATTTAATTTCGATCGAGAATCTGTTACCTTCAGTCTGATGCTGATGTAAAATTCATCGTCTTGTTTTTGGTACGTTCAGTAAGTCTGCGGTCCACGGTCGGCGACGTATCTATTTTCGACCGTATAGCTCGCACATTTCTTCGTGAGTCCGAGATTACACGACCCGCGATAATAAGTCATTCGATTTATCGACGGTCTCGCGCAAGATATCTTCTCGGAGGGGTTAGATTTCAGGGAAGGCTTCTGGATTTCAACCTCGCCTCCTTTACTGATCGCCGTCCGATCGTGAGTTATTCTCGGACGAACGCGAAAAAGCCTCCCTGCGAAACTACCGCGGGCACTGCGTATTTTTCTACGTTACGCTTTACGACGGCCAATGGCTGTTTCTCAATTACTGGGGCACCGGCGAGGGGCTCTCTGAGAATTCTTCCCAGAGATTGCTCTTCAAAATAGCGCACCATGTTCTGTAACGAGCAGCGCACCACTTATGTGTGCACGATTTCTTTCCTACTTTTTTAAAAGGTTGCAATTAATTTTTTAATTAAAATTTTCACGCAAAGATTTCGGATCCTCAAATAAGTAAACAGATATTAAATACTATAATTTATGATTCGAAGATTTTTTAATGTGGAATTTTATATACCTATCTTAACATAATTATCGATTTGTGTCACTTGAATTTATTTATGATGAAAAAATATAATTTTATCACACACACATGCTGACATTGAATATATTATGCTTTTATTACACTTGCTACACACGTGGCTTTGAAGATTAATAAAGCACACATTAACACCGCTTAATGTCCAATTGAGATTAAAATTAAACTGTGTTCTTTATTATCGATCGGTTATCAAACTAGACCAAGGAAGCATCTGTCAATAATGTACATGAAAATGTTAGATAACTGTCAGATAATTAATTATTTCTAAAAATGTAATAAACTAAGGTATTTTCATGATTAAGAAGGTAACATGTAGATTGTCGAGCTAAATGAGAAAAGAACTATTTATAATTTTAGTTTCCTATTTCAACAAATATGGTATAAAATATTTAAATATGGTATAAAATATTTTCTTAATCGATATTATATTTTTATAAATGTATAGCTTTTAATAATACAATAATGCATGATTTAAATTTTTACTCATTAATTATTTTTCGCGGCCATCTGGAACAGGTATATTTCTATACACATGGTATCTTTCTTTATGAAATATTTTTCCAAGAACAGTTAATATATCATTGTTGATGAAACAGCTTTAAGTCTTCTGCGTTCACTCATGCAAAATATCCCCTTGCTTCACGTAGTAATCGGTTTCAAAGTTCCGACGAAGTAATCTGCGATCGATGCCCCAGAAAGCATCGACGGAAAAACGTCGAAGAGAGAGCGGAAGTCAGTCTTCGTTAAAATTTTAGAATGTTTCGCCGGGGATTACGCTTGCAACGTGTTCGTTTAACGCGTCGGCTCGGCGTTTTACTGTCACCGGTTGAGCACCACGGCTGTCGGATATCGAGATTTTTACATTGCGTGTATTGCGCCGCAACGGAGCGGAGACGCCGCCTATAACGTTGATATCGATTCTCGAACTTGCGACCGCGCCATTTCTCGTATGCGCAATCATACACAAGTATTAATCGAAGGAAATATTTTCCCTGTGAGATTCGCCTTCCCTTTTCGGCATATATTTTTTGTATCGACACGAAATCGCGCTCTTTATATATGCGCGAACGAAATCAGACGTGACGCTGACGGCTGTTGAAATTACATTAAAATCGATAACAAAACAGCATTGATTTCGCACCAAAATTTAATTTGGTCCCTTTATCCGTGAGATTTTCGCTTATATCGCGATATTGGCCTATCTGATAATTACAATCTGACTATTGTATTTTATGATGATTGTAATTCGGTGCTTGACAAGGTACACGCATTTTGTACTGTATAATTAATAATACCCTCATTACGGACAGAATAAAAAATCATGATTTCATTGGATGACAGCCAATCGTATAAGCTTGGTTAGTCGTTACGATTTGACATGGAGATAAAAAATCGTATACCCAGGATTGTTTGCGCACAACAATATCGTTCGAATAAACAAGGGTTTGTCAAAAACATTTCATGGATGGTTATTGTTATTGTAATTGAGAAAATCTCGTGACATAGAAATTATTATTGATAAAATCAGATAATTTTTTTCTAAAATTTTATTTAATTTATGAATAAAAATATATAACAGACGCAAGAGCTTATCATAACAATTTTCTAAACTGTACAAACAATAATAATAAATAAATGTAATACACAAAATGTTATAATTTATTTA